AAGAAACTTCGAAAGCTTGGTGGAGGTGAAAGTAACATTTTGATTCAACCAAAGAGCCTGTATTTATAGATTTAGGGCGACGGTTCGGTGGTGCTAGTGGCTGACCGTCCACTGGCAAGCATTAATGGTTTCGAGAACTGTACCGACGGGACGTTTCGGTCACCTCGATCGCCTACGTCACGGGGATGACATCATTATCGGGGTCTCCAGAAAATCGAGGCTCAAGTCATTTCTTATCGTTTTACTCTAAGAAACGAGGGGACTATCTGTATACGGTAGAAATCGGGGTTACCCGATTTCATTCTTTGGCCAAGATAGGAATATCACGTCGAAGAGCTAGGACGTCGAGTCCGGACCGAGGTCGACATCGATTGCGGCCAGAAAGAGGCAGACTTCGAGTGACATCGGCATAGCTTGATAACGGAAAATGCGAGATATCCGCAATTGATCGACAATCGTGGCGTGAATCTCGGAACGGATCAATTTACAACGGTTAATTAGATGTTAATATGATTTCCTACTATAATCAAAAGTGTACCTTATTTAGGGCTCCTCTATTATTTAAAGAGGGATCCCATTCATTTGTAATGTTTATTGTTCATTAACAAGAATATATACACTCATTACTGTCCTGCTATTTCACTTATTGTTCATCAGAGTTGCTTTATCTTTTACTACTCTTGCCATCCCACCTCTAGGCTATCCCAAGTCGAGGTCGAGACCTGGCTAACACACTGGTTTAATTAACTTTATTCTCTAATTTATTCATTTATTTTCTTGCTTATCAATTGGCATTGGACGAAATCACATATTCTTAAAACCACAATAAGTTTAATTGTTATCCGAATTTGAGGGTAAACAACATCAAAATTTATTTACTATTTTCGAAAGTAAGCTTTGAAAAAAATAGGGTATAGAATGTTAAATTATCTTTTAATACCTATTAATTGGTGCACGTTGCATTTCAGTTAAGTATTTTCACCATATGAATTGTGGTGGAATACGTACGATCTATTTACCTTTAGTTAAAGATTTTGAATTTGAACCTTAGGAGTTTAAAAAAACTTTGATAAGAAGCACTTCCTTATTTATTAGGTCTTAGTGTCTTACACAGTACAAACTGGATTAGTCGAGTTCAAAAGTAGTGATGTCAATGGTTCGGCTCGACCGGTTATTTTATAAAATTTGTATCATATCAATTTTTCGGTTATTCTATTATGTATAATCAAAATTATACTTTTCGTAATCGTCCCAATCATGTCGATTTCTCTTCGGTATCAGTACGATTAAGTTAATTTACAGTAATTTTTTAAATATCATGTAAAAATTCACCAGAAGAAGTAGAATGAAATAACATATGTTCTTTTATAGGACTTAGCAAAACTCTCTCTAGATATTTTTACTGTTTAAACTGATAAATTAAAAAAATTGGCTAGAGTATAGATCAACTATTCTACAACAGCGCAAAAGAAACGAAGCAAAGGCAAAGAAAATATAAATCACACGAGTGTAAATATATTAACCAAGCTGAGACTCAAGAATAAAGTCTATAGAAGATTAAATATTCAAAAAGATAAATCCAAATTATATGAAATGAAACATATTCAATACATTGTAGTTTATTACTCATAATCGCGAAAATACTTTGTGTCTTGCTAATGAAGATACTTGAAATAACTTAGTTTAAGTAGAAGTAGCATAATATGTTTTAGGAATTAATATTTTGAGTTTAATTATTTGTTGGTTCGTAACAGTTTTCTAATTCCTAGGCCCAAAGAAAAATTTAATGCAATATTATTTTTAGACTTACTATATAAATATATTTTTCACATGTAAAATTTATTCGGTACGGTTCGGTATTTTTTCGGTTTATTTTCATAAAATAAAAATCTACCCTAATTATCGGTCCGATTATAGATTTATATAAAAACCTACGATGTCTTTAAAAGAAACCTAAAAAATCTAATCGGTATGGTACGGTTCGGTCGATTTAGTCAGTTTTCGAATATCTGTTGACACCCCTACTCAAAAGTAGGTACAAAATTCTAAGTAAAAAATTATAAAAAGATTATTTTCAGTAAAATTTTCTAAAATAAACCCCACCTAACCACCAACTTCATTTCTCATTAAATTAAAGAATTGGTAAATGCCAAGTGAAGGACTTGGTCAAATGTTCATGCTTCTTGGCTTCAAACCTATCACATGGGATCATCACATTCTGCAACGCGGAAGTTCGGTAGTTCAATTTTATACTCTTACATCTTCTATCTCAAAAGTTGCGAAAGGCTAAAGGGTTGTTTTAATCGGTGAGATAAGGGATAAGAATTCTAAATTTAGATGTCGAATTATTTTATTTTGAGTTTGGTTGAATTTTCAAATGCAGAATTAGCCATATAGGGATTAATTTATATCACAATTGTGTGATTACTCTATTCCATCGATGGTGGTATAATAACTCCGGGATAAAATATTTTTTTTCCAAGCTCTTTTTCTAAAATCCTCTAAAAATAAGATTAAAATTTGAAATAAAAATTTATTCTAACTTATGCTTCGACATAGATTCCTTTTACCCTTTTCTATAAGAAAATGAAAATATTATTTTTTTTCATGGAATTTGATCAATTTTTAAAATAATTTTGAGGAAAAATTTTCAAGTTTCAAAAAACTAATTTTGGGCCAGTTTTTGGATGAAAATTTTACTTTCACTCACAAAACTTCAACTTTTTTTCGTAAAAATAGCACAGTATAGCCAGTTTTCGGACTGGTCAATCAAAAATAACCAGCGTTTACCAAGTCAATGAAAAATAGCCACTACTTTGCTTCAATAGAGACCGGTCCAGCATAATATACTGGAGTTCGGTGCACTTGTGTATGAACTCCAGCATATTATGCTGGACCGGTATACTTTGCTGGCTCCAGTATAATATACTGGAGACTGGAGCACCGGTGCTCCAAAGTCCAGTATATTATAGTGGACCAATATACTTGCTGGAACTCCAGTATATTATGCTGGAGTTCTAGCGTACTTATGCTGGAACTCCATCATATTATGCTGGAGTTCCAGCATACTTATTCTGGAATTCCAGTATAATATGCTGGAGTTCAATTATACTTATGCTGGAACTCCAGCATAATATACTGGAGTGTTTTCCGGGTTTTGAACAGTGTTTTCACTCAGATTTATCTTTATATAAAAAGTGGCTAAATTTCGATTACTTTTGAAATTGGGCTATTTTTCAACGACCAGTTGTAAATCTGGCTATTTTTAAAATTTACCCCTTTTTTTCAAATAAAATACATATCCAAACACATCGTCAACTTTTAAATGTTATTTTTCAATACAACTTCAAAAAAACTCTTTTTTTTTGAGTTTCAACCAAATTTTGTTGTATAATATGTATACAACAAACACATATTATATATTGTATCTTATGTATCCCATTTTTAGTCAATTCACCAAATATCTCCCAAAAAAAATATCCATTAAATAATTTTATCACTTATTTTATCTCGATATTATAACTTTGTCATTATAAACATTGGGTAATTTTGGCCTTTTTTTTTTAAATTTTGAGAAGAATATCTAATAATTCATCATAATTGGCACTTTCGATATTATGAAAATTCGTATATTGACACAACTCATCCTTTGTCGTTGATTTAAGATCAAGAGAGTTCTATAGTGTGAAAATCATTTACATACCCAGCTTTGCTTTAAAAATTAACCCCCTCCTATTATGAACGATTCACATTCTCCCCCGTTTATCCTGCACAATGCTTGTTTTGCCCTTGCCATTTTTCATTCCCTCCTCTATATAATATTATTTTATTATATATGATATTTTTTATGATATTACCTACAATTTAAATTATATTATACCTTACTATGAATTTTAATTTAAGTTTATTAAAATAATAGAGAATATTTATTTTTTAAAATTCGTAAAAAGTCTATCCTTATTTATTTATTTATTTATTTATTATTATTATTATTATTATTATTATTATTATTATTATTATTATTATTATAAGATAACACGCATTAAGTATATATTTAAATTATAGCGGCGGAGCCATAAATTTATACTAGATGATTTAAAATAACAAACTAAAATATGAATATCTAGGATTTGAACTTATGACCTAAAATAGTCTTGAACCCACTTTACCACTGTATTGTAATATCTTTTCTTATGTCAAGGATATTTAATAGTAATTTATATATAATTAAAAAGCTCGTTGTTCCTTTATTTGCACAGTCCAATTTCTGGCGAAAAAGGCTTCAATTGAACCCTTTGAACCCTCTAACCGTCTAACCTCCATATAGTTTTGCGTCCCTGCACTTTTTCTCTATTGTTTATATAGTTTAAGAAATAAATGGAAGATTGTTTTTTTGTTCAAAGTTGAGGGAGAAGTTTGTAATTAGAGTTTAAATAATTCATCCGTTCCTATCCCATTCAAAAGATTAATTTTTTTTTTCAAACCTATAAGGCTAAAGGGTAAGTGAGATATTCCCAAAATTAAAGGAAATTAAATTGAGATAAAGAGACAAAAACAGCCATTTCAATAAAGAAAGACCTATTGAAAAATAGGAGCATTAATATCTTCTACTCTCATGCCTTAATTGTAGCCCCGCCACCCCACTGTCTCTCTGTCTCTTTTCCATCATCTAAGCCTGTTCATTAGGTCACAAAAAATCTAGCGATCGATTATACACTCAAATTAAATTCAATAATACAAAAAAATTGTTCCCTAAAGTAAAAATAATATATGGGTTACTTCCCTTAGTGCGCAAAATATTCGGTATTTATGCCGGATCTAGAATACCTATTTTAATACAAATATTACTGGCGGCTTTCACGACTCGAACATGTAACCTATATTTCACGTAATATTCTACAGTGTGAACAATATTGATTCCTTTTTATCCAACACCATGAAATTCCGTTATTACAAAAGAAATAAGCTAAACACTTGGTTTCTTGACGTGACACTAACGTCTTCCTAAAAAGTTCAATCTTTTTCTCATGGTTTTCTTCATTCTATCTTCCTGCGGAAAACATGGGGGTAGTTTTATTGGATTTTTTTGGTCATGGGGGTACGTCATTTTCCAGAAATAAACAGAATTTGTTCCTTTTTTTCTTTTCTTTTTTGCTTTCAATCTTGGGATTGAAATTCTTGACTTGTTTGTGTTCTTATAAGATTGTGGTTTTTTCCCTAGCAATGAAAAGAGAGAATAAAAGGAAATAAAAAAGATTTCTGTTTCCTTTTATTTCTTTATTTAGTAATTTTTTGAAAGTCCAAAAGTCTTCATATTTTTTTCTCATTGACATATAAAAGGTAATAAAAATATAAAATCCTGTTATAGTCTCTTCCTCTCTCTATATAATTTGCTTTCTTCCATTGTTTTGTCTTTGTTTCCTCTGTGGGGTATCCTTATATTCACAATTTCACAGAGTTGGAAGAGAGAAAACAGTTTCATTTCTCTTTTTCGCTCTTTCTCTCTCTATATTTTGCTTCAATAATCATGACTATTGATAAAGGTTCAATGCAATCAAATCTTGATTCTTTCTTGAATTGCACTACACCATTAGTACCATCTCAGTTTCTTGCTAAGGTTTGTGTATGTACATTTTTTTGTTCCTTTAAATAGATGAGCATGTGTTATTTATATGATATGATTTGGTTTTTGTGCAGAGTGAAACTAGAAACCTTAATAGGCTTTGGCATCCTAAAGAAAAGGAAGAGATTGAATACTTTACATTGGCTGATTTATGGAATTGTTATGATGAATGGAGTGCTTATGGTGCTGGAGTTCCTATTAAATTAGATAGTGGTGAAACTTTAGTCCAATATTATGTGCCTTATCTTTCATCTATTCAAATTTTCACCAGCAGTTCATCTGTAAGCATTTTAAGGTACCATTTTGTATGTTACATTATATTCTTAGGTTATCTCAAATTGATCATAGTTCATGGTTTGGCTTGACTTTCTAACTTATTGGTCCTATTTTTTACAAAGAAATTTTCATTTTTATAATCGAAAAGCTTCTTGAGCCGAGGGTCTATCGGAAACAGCCTCTCTACTCCTCCTTGGTAGGTTAAAGTCCGCGTATACACTACTCTCCCCAGACTCCACTAGTGGGATTATACCGGGTTGTTGTTGTTGTTGTATAATTGAAAAGCTATGTTGCTCGGACTCTTCAAAAGTGCCGTCAGGCGCTTTCCGGGTTCTCAAAAGTAGTGCAAGTTTGGAGGATCCGAACGGGTACAACAACAATTCTGGAGAGTCCGAGCAACATAGTTGAAAAGCACATTTCTTGTGGTATAAAGCCTTTTCTTGAAGTTAAAACTGGTTTTATGTTTTTTATAGGGAGGAGAATGAGTCTGTGTGGGAGACAAGGGATTCTTTTAGTGATTCATTGAGTGATGAGAGTGAGAGTGAAAAGCTATCAAGATGGGATGGTTGTTCCTCGGAGGAAGGTTTATTTGATCAAGATAGCAACTTTCAAATGAATGATAGATTGGGTTACCTTTATTATCAATACTTTGAGAGATCTTCTCCATATGGAAGAGTACCTCTGGTGGATAAGGTAATTTGTCTCCAATTCTTGCCATTCTTTTGCACTAAGAAAAGCTATAGTTATAGGCTATGCCCATTGTTTCCATTCCTATTCCTCTGCTTCATATTTTTGTTGCTATTAATCGGTTATTGCGTCCTTTTTACTGTTCTTGAGCCGAGGGTCTATCAGAAACAGCCTCTCCACCTTCATAAGGTAGAGGTAGGGTCTGCGTATACATTACCCTCCCCAGACCCCACTTGTGAAATTCCAGTGGGTTGTTCGTCGTCGTCGTCGTTGTTGTTGTATATATGCTATTGGCCAGTGATTCATGTGTGGTAGAAACATATAAGTTGTACATGGATTTGTGTTCTATTCCAGGTTCAACTGTTTCTTGTTTTCTTCTTCGAGCATTTTGATTGAATAAAAGATGGTAATGTCTATAATAGAATTATACAAATGAACACTCCTTTTTTGACGCGATTTCTTATTTATAACTGTTTGATGCTACAAATACTGTATCATCTTGATTCGATTCTCTCCGAGCTCCTTAATTATAGCAATTACTTGCTTCTTTACTTATGTAACTCTGGTATAATTAGGCATTTGTTCTATGCAAAGGAAACTGTAGTTTGAATTTCTTAAGATTATGATGCTTTATTTTGTATTCTATGTGTATTTAACTATTCATTTTGCTTTCAGATTAGTAGCTTAGCTGAAAGACACCCTGGATTAATGTCATTGAGAAGTGTAGATCTTTCACCAGCAAGTTGGATGTCAGTTGCTTGGTATATCACTTCTTTCTATCTCTGTCTCTCCGCGCACTAATAATCATGAAACTGACGATTCTTTTTGAGTATATTTTACCAAATTCATGTGATTTCAGTGTATAAAAACTCTTACCAATCGAAATCGTTATATTGCACCTTCATTGATGTTCAAGGGGATATTGTTTACCCTGTGGCAGATCCTATTGATTCATCTCATTTATGTTGATGTTTAATTTTTGCAAACAGAAAATAATGAGATGGAGTTAAGGAAAGATTGTATCACTAACTTTATTGATATGAAAAATATAGGTACCCTATCTATCACATTCCCATGGGGAAAACCATTAAGGACTTGTCTACATGTTTTCTCACATTTCACACTCTTTCTTCTTCTTTCCAAGGTATTGTTCATTTTGTCCTATGAACAACTGAAATTTGGTTGCCTATGTTACTCGATCGATAATATGCAGAAGATTTTTAAACTATACTGTTGGATTTGTACAGATATGGACCTTGAAGATAGCATGGAGAAAGGTATTAGGAAACGAGACGAAGGGGAAACGATCCCTCTTTCACCTTTCGGTTTGGCAACTTACAAGATGCAGGGTAATGTGTGGATTTCGGACAGGAGTGGAAGGGACCAAGAGAGGCTAGTGTCACTATTAAGCGTGGCTGATTCATGGCTAAAGCAATTAGGGGTCCAGCACCATGACTTTAACTACTTCTTGGGCATTCGTCGTGGCTAAAAACACAAATGTTGACTTACCATTTGAACCCCACAAATGGACTGATTCTGGAGTTACCTTCTCTTTTTGGCCCTGAATGCCTCTTTGTAAAGGCATTAGACTCATGTGACAGTTTCTGTATAGGGATTAGCTTAGTTTTGAAGGGATAAAACTTGAGGTGAAGCTAGAGATAGGCGTGGGCGGCGCGCGCTTATAACTGTGGATTAATGGTGTAACATGATCATGAAATGACTATGATTAAGCCTTTTCTCTTGTGAGCAATACTTGCACGCTTCTGCAAAATGTTGTTTCCTTTTCTTGTATGATTCTGAAGAACTTTCATTAAGTGCTTTAAGCTTCCTTTTGTACATTTTCATGTAAATATCTTTACACTTCACATTCCATTTGAAGTGGAGAAACAACTAATATGCTATTAATGGAAAGAAGACTACCTATGTTGGTTTTATTTGTCTGTCTAAATCTTGATGAATAGTTGTAATATATTTAGTATTTATGCTGATGAATATTAGCAGTTTCCAGTGGACTATTTGAGGTGCGTGCAAGTTGGTCCGAACATTCAGCGGCGGATTTACGTTTTGAGGTATGGGTGCTGAAGCGCCCATTCGCTTTGGCCAAACTTTGTTATGTATATTCATAGATAGAACTTAAAAATTTAAGGGGATGTTACATAAATGTCCCAAATAAGTTCCAACTTACCAACCTCTAGCCATTAATTATAAACTTACCAAAACTAGCCAAGCACATATAAAAATTAAAATCCAAATAAATAAGGTTCTTCTCTCCAAGAATCATACGCAAAGATCTCCTTCCATATTTTTAAGCGTGGTCAGCAACATTAGTTGCAAGACGAAAAGAAAATTTCATGGATGAGGTAACAAACAAGGTGATCTAATACAAATATATATATATACACAAGATTCCAAAAATCTAAGCAAAAAAGGACCTTTTCCAATGGGTATGATTGGAATTCATTGAAAACATATAGATGAGTTGATATACAAATTTTGAAGAAGATTGGAGGTGTTTTGGTATCAAAATTCGTAGTTAAATTGAGCTCAAAAAATTCTTCTGTGACACAAGTATCAACTATCACGCATGTATCACACACACAAGTGTACATGTGATACACATTTGATATTGATATGAAACATATATCATTTTTTTTTTCATGTTTCATCTTCTATTTCGAATTTTCAATTCAAACCACCTCAAAACTCCGCCAAATCACCCAAAAACTGAAATTCAAACTCCTTAAGCACCCAATCTATTCTAATAACACCCACTCAAAAGAAAGCAAAAATTTGACCTTTTTTTTGCTACAATACCTAATTGGTTAATATTAATAATATTTGGCTAATATTAATAATATTTAATAAATTAGCCAATCTTAGTAATAAGCTACTTATAAATGGATCTAGCCGGTAGTTTCCCAAAATTTAAATAATTGACCATGAGTGTTATGGTCATGTTTGACCACGGTAAATTTACATTAAATTAGTGAAGTACCCACAACCTATAAATCTTGGATCCGCCACTGCGAACATTTACTTCAAAAGAAACTTGTCTAAAACTACCTATAGCGAGAGTCGGGTTATTGATATAAGGTGGATCTAGAAAAGGGGTAGTTTTAGCTATATTTCCGAGATGATTCGTATATACAATAACAAAAAATCCAATTTAATCTCATACGTGGGATCTGAAAAAAGTAGTGTGTACGCAGTCTTACCTCTACTATTTAAAGGCCGTTTTCGTGTATATATTTCACAAATCGTAAAATCAAGGTAGGCGATAAAGTGGCTGGAAGACAATACTCGAGTTGATAATGATTTCCTTGAGTAATGGACTAATGATAGTGGATGACGTTGACTTGTTTGATGATCTCTTCTGCATTTCACAATAAGTCAATTTTTTTGAAGAGATGTGGGTCCATTTGTGGGAAAAAAGAAGCCAGTGATTCTAATGCAGTTGGAAGTTCACATTATCACATCATATCTTTGACTTTGCAATACAAGTGTTTTTGTTAACTTTAATGGATAATGTTTTTTAAACCATAAGTTATTTTAATCCAAACGCTAGAATTTTTCTTCGTTTATTTGTGAGTGACGAGTGAAATGGTAGCATACAAATTATCCATTATGGAGGAGTTAACGATACTGAAAATTTTGCACTAACATGCATTACTGTCAAGTGTTAAGTGAGAATTGATCTACCAAAATTATGGATTAGCTAGGGTCTGGTAAATCTTACTAATTGGGTTAGGCATCATTGGTTTTGACAAGTTAGGTACCAATAATTAATGGTTGGAGAAATTAGTGGTATCTAAAAAAAGAGTGTCCCTCATAGAACAACATTTGTTTTTTTACTTTGTAGTGAATTTTTCTTTAAATGGTTCGATTCAGTCGATTATTTTATAAAATGTATACCATATTAATTTTCGGTTATTTTATTTTATATACTTTTCAAAAGCCCTCTTAATTATCCCGGTTTCTCTTCTTTATCAACACGATTCGATTGTTTTTTGGTATTTTCTTTAAAATATTATGAAAGAGTCATTAGTAGAAGTTAGAATGCGATAATATGTATACTTGGATAGTGTTTGACCAAAAAACATAGACTTTCGGTTAAATTATTAAATCTTAATAAAGAGTTAAACCTAGTTAATAATAATATCTCTAGATTTAGAACTAGTTGGTATGAAAAACGTGGGATAATGCTAGTGGAGAATTAAAAACAGTGTGCATTTAATATTCCGAAGGATTTGAGCAATGATAGAGGAACATCAAGCAATAAATAGCAATGGATGGTATTTATGTAAATAAGGAGAATATTTCACCCAATATTGAATGAGGTGGATGATTCTTCTTTCTGACAGTTATGAATGACAGACAAATCTTAGAATATTGGAACTATTCTCGAATCTGATGGAAAAGTATGAAATAATGGATGATAGAATCTAAGTAAAAAGGTAGAGTTTGTATCTTTTTTAGAAAGGGTCTTCTTCTCAAAAAGTGTTCTTATCAAATGAATATTACTGCCTTATCCCCTTATCTCCTTTTCTATTTAGATGAGACATATCCCTAATCAACCCTAATAGTACAAGTGTAGAGAATATTCAATGGAATATTCTCTTTAATATCTTATTACAAAAACTAGCCGTTAGTGCTCTGTCCTTGGTGCTCGACCTCGACCATCGTTAACTGCCCGGCTACGAATCCCATTGTTTACTAGTCGCCCTCGGTCGCATCATTTTCCTTAATTCTCCATTGTGCTAAATTTCCTTAGGGCAAATTTTGACCTATACAGATAGGACTTTGGAAAAATTCTCTAGATATTTTTACTATTTAAAAGATGATGAATCAACGGAACATGAAAGATGGTCAGAGTTTAGATCCATCCTACTGTTAATTCTATAGCAACATAGAACAAATTAAGTAAAGATAAGAGAAATATATAAAGCACACGAATGAAAAGATATTAATCAAGTCGACACTCAAATATATAGTATATTAGAAGATAAAGTATCCAACAAGAGAAATATAAATCATATAAGAGGAAATATATCCAAAACCTTGTAGCTTGTTTGTTACTCAAGAATGCTAGAATACCTCGTGGCTCTAATTAAGATGTTGGAACTTATTTATTTTCAATATGAGTACCAGAATAAGTTTGGAAGTTCGAATTTTGGGGTTAATTACCTGTTGGTTTGCGCGGTTTTCTTAGTCTCAATTTTTAATGTTTTACTGTTTTAAATCTTCATATATGAAAACATATTTAATCAATACGGTTTGATATTTTTTTGGTTTATTTTTATAAATTTAAAAATCTACCATAATTATTTGGTATGGTTATAGATACATATAAAAACCTACAATTTTATGATAAAAAAACTTAATAACCAATTTGGTACGATATGGTTCAATCGATTTAATCGATTTTTAAAGATCCATCAGCACTCCCAATGTCACGACCCTGATTTCCCACCATCTAGACCGTGATGACGCCGAACATCGCACTCGCTAGGCAAGCCAACATTAGAGTTTCATTAGCCTTTTTCCTTTACATTTCATAGACTAAGACTAAATCAAGTAGAATTAAAAGCGGAAATACGTAAATAACCTTTTGTCTATTCACATTACTGTAACTATTACTACTACGAGCCAGAGTCTGGTGTCACAATCCAAGAACATACTATGAATTACTACAAATATTGGTCTGAAAGAAATTACATCTGTCTCGAAAGAAAAGAAAACAGGAATGTAGAAACATAGGAGGGGACGCCAGGGCTTGTGGATGCCAACAGGACTACATTGGGTCTCCTAGATGAAATGTCTGCAACCGACCTCTCGATCAGCCACTACCAGCTCCAAAATCTACACAGAATGTGCAGAGTGTAGTATCAGTACAACAGACCCCATGTGCTTGTAAGTGCCGAGCCTAACCTCGACGAGGTAGTGACGAGGCTACGGCGGGGCAATTACAATATAACCTGCATACAATATATAATAAAGCGAAAAGGAAGTATGGAACAAAATAAAATAGTAACTTGCAGCAAAATGAATACAGAACTCCAATATCTATCAGTACCCATCTATAACCAATCCTTAGGTGAGATGCAAAACTACAGAATAAATTCACAGCAGAAGAAGGATACATAAACAATAAACTGATGCGACGCGCATCTCGATCCCACCATATAATCAGTAACAATATGAACATTCACCCTTATTACTCCGTATCAATCCACCCTTATTCCTCCTGTTGCGGCGTGCAATCCGATCCCACCGTACAGTAACAATCCACCATTATTACTCCTTAATATACCACCCTTATTCCTTCTGTTGCGGCGCGCAACCCGATCCCACCAGACAATCGCATTTCACCCTTATTCCTCCTCAATATATCACCTTTATTCCTCCTGTTGTGGCATGCAACCCGATCCTACCATATCAGTATCAATCACACAAAAAGGACAAGAATTTCACAATTTAGTACAAAACCCTCCACAATATTTAAGCCTTAAACCAGAGCAAATAGAAGGCCATACAATTATGAAACTTCTCTAAATTAATACTACACAGCGAGACTAACCAAAGTATACCAGGAAAACACCGATAAACCAACTTAAACCGATAATGAAATACAATGAAACTACAGAATAGTTAATACCTTCAATAAAGAAAACAACATCTAAAAAGAAGCAATTAAATATGGAAACACCATTGAGCATGTAGCAGTTAAGACAAGAAGACAATATATTAAGAACGGGGAAAGAAACAGGCTAGACAGATCATTTGGCGGTGCATAGGTACTCGTCACTTCACCTATACGCCACACACATGGATTTCCACATAGCAAATAAGTCGGGGATCCCTAATCCCTCAAGTCAAAGTTAGACACAACACTTACCTCAATCCAACGGCCAACTCAACGCTCAATTACCGCTTTTCCTCT